TCTTCTGGGAGAACTGGCAATGGTTCAAAACTTGGCTACAAGCGATTTTCTAGGAATCTTCCTTACGATAAATTATTGAGAAGAGTGACAGATAAAACCTTGACGTTCTTTCAGTAATTGAGTTTTCTCTTTTTCTTTCTAAAGCGTGCGTTGAAAGGAGACAAAAACCATTTTTAGTGACCCATAATTTGTTATTCGAACACGACTTTTCTACTTGTCGGATCGTTGACGTTGACTTGTCGCCATCGTCGTCATTTGGTCGCCATTTTATTTCTTTTGTTTACACGCTGCAGTTTGCTTTGCAAATTTAATATATAAATTATTTAGGCAAATATAGGTTTTTGATAAAACTCCTCGGACTAACGTGTAGGTAAGTGTTGATTAATTTTTTTTCATCTTAACATGCTTATTGTCATTCTCCTGATTTAGGTGACAGAAAAAGATCATCAAATCAATATTTTATATTTTTTCATCCCAGGACCAATAGGACCTAATATCAACGAGATGAGCCATCGGAAGAAAGGGATTGAAATTATATATAGTCGTGTTCGGCATTATGCTCTGAGAAATATAGATAAACAAAGAACAACAGATATAAAGCATCCCAGAGGAAAAGAGAGGAAATCCCTGTACTCTCTCTGATATTTGTGAAAGTTACGGCAAAGTATTGTTGTAAATGTCATCTTTTTGATGGACCTGAAAACTTCAAAAGTCAGAGACGATACAGGTTTTTCCTCTCTTTTCCCCTGGAATACTTTTAATTTATTATTCTTTGTTTATCTAGATTTCTCAGAGCACTATGAACGAACTCAACTTGTATGTTTGAAATAATCGTCCAGTTGGCTTAAAAATGATGATCGATGACATTTCTCATATAATTTTACTTTCAAAATTATGATATATATCTTCATTTCTAAGCCATCTCTGACGCCATTTTTTGTTATAATTAATTTTGTCTCTTGATCTACTTGTAACAGTATTCTTTTAACTTTATTAATTTATTGTGGTGAAATTAATTTCTGTTGTATATTTGATATTGATATTAAACATATTTTTAAAAAATGGTGTATTTTTTGTGTTTTTATCTGTCATAATTAAAAATAAATGGAGAATTAAATTTTTTTAATGTTTTAAACTTCCCGCCATGCGTGACAATCTAGTCCGTAGTTCCTACAAGCGATATTGGGGGCGCTAGTAGCAGTAGACTTGTCAACAGTGTCAAATTTAAACGTCAATTTCACTTTCCAATATTTAGCAAGGCGCTAGCACTTTTCCTTGTGTATGTGTTTTATGCAGCAGGTGCTCTATGGTTTCTTCTCCTCTCCGCATTTCGCACTCCGTTTTTCATCTTCATCATCATTAACTACTCTCAAATTTTTCACAATTTTTAAGCCTCTTATATATCCAGGATCCTTTAAACATTCCGTACTGTCTAACTGCAGAACACTTTTATCAATAATGAAAAAAAATTGTAACGAATTTGAATTTATGAAATAATCAATGTTTTTGTTTATAAACCATTTAAAATCAAAAAAATCCTTATGGGTTTTTCGCCACTGCACTGCAAGAAAAAATCTACAAAATAAAATATTTTTTGTAAACACTTCTGCGTTAAACCTAAACGGACGCTGCTTGTCAGAAGTTGTGTTTACAGTAATAAAAATTTGCCTAACAAAGAAAAAAATTCTTAACGTTTCGGAAAGTTTTCTCTTTCCGTCGTCGGAAGCAAAAAAATATAAAGAATCAAGAAAAAAACTATTTAAAATATTTAAATTGAACTATTCGAAAACACTTTACTTTTTAAAACAGATACGTCTACAAGAAATCGCTGACGTTCTGTTAAAATGACATTATATTAAGTTAAACTTCAAAATTAACAATTACTACCTGATAATTACTTAATAAGGTAAAACCAAAAAGCCCAAACTTTCTGTATGATTATTTTTAAATTTCACGTATGTTACGTTTATTTATGTAATGTTCTTTAAAATCAAAGAAGCGATTGCCATACATTACTCACATCTACAGATGCATGAGCAATACATTTATTTTTATTAGATTGAATTAAAAAAGCCTCTTTTATTTTTCTTTTAGAGGCTATCGCTTCTTTCATCATAATTTTGGCGTTATTAAAATTTATTCTGTGCCCTGTGTCCCATGAATGCTGACAAATCTTAGATTTGTGAAAATCTCCCTTTCTTAAATAATCTTTATGTTCTTTAATTCTAACATTTAAGGGTCTAGATGATCATTTAAAATCATCCTGATTAAAAATGAAGCTTTTACAAATATCAAATCTTTGTCATTATTCACTTTTAAAACTTCAACCATTTTCTGCCTGATACTATAAAGTATTAGAATTAACTACTTGTCATGGATTCAATTTTTTTCATGATTCAAAATTTTTTATCATGATATCATGAAAGTTGTTTTTTTTTTCAAATAATAGATTAAATTTTTCAAAAATAATCATAATTTTGTCAAAAAAGTTGAAGAATTTAGGAATTTACCGAGTGGTTAATTTTAACCGTGAATAACTTTTGAAGGAGTCGGTTTATCGAAAAAAAGATCGAGAAAAAAAAATATTTGCCAAACTTCCTATGTAATTTAAATGGGAAATAAATCGTCTTTGGGGCAAAGTTTATTGTGAATATTTATTAAGGGTTTACAATGGTCATTTTTCTGTCATTTTTTTGTATAATAAACTAAAAATTTAGAGGGCGCCGTGAAAGAAATGATCAACTTGGTAAATAACGGACACCCTAAGCATTATTCCTAAAAAATGTGTCCACCTGAATTTGTTTGCCTGAATCCTTCACTGATTGACTCAAAGACTCGTGAATTTAGTAATAAATGTAAAAAAAGTTCATAAAAAATTCTATTTTTTAATTAAAATAAGATAATTGTTATTATGATTTCATTAACCACGCGTTTGATTAATAAACAATCTAACTGACCAATACCATGTTATCTACTTTCCTCTGATAAAGGCTTTATCAATAAAATGCATAAATAACAAACAATATTTTTCAATAACTCATGCTAGATGGCTTGTTATCAGCGTTATGTGAAGTAAAAATCTGATTTTTTGAGTGTATTTACTTAAAACATTAATGGTTTATCAGAGTACATGAGGAAAAATGACACACATTGATAACATTGCTAATTAAAATACTAGAGATACGCCAAATCATTTTATATAATAATGTGCAAGTTAAAGATGATGAGTATTTTTTTTTTGGTCCAAACTAGCATTGGAAGAAAATATTCCTTTTCATAAAACAAATAATACGATCGAAAAAAAACGACGTCAAAGACGGCGGAGAATGACGATCGATAATAATTTTAGCGAGGTCAAACCCTAGACGTCATTTTACTTGGCCTGTACTCTTTCTTTATTTTTTATGGGGCTTCTGCCAGTTCGCCGTAAAAGAAGGTTGTAATCTATTTTTATAATAAGTAAAAATGATGGAATTTTTTCTTTAATTTATTTTGTAGAATTTAGGAAGTAGGGCTACTGGCAAAAACCCACTTAAAAAACAGTAACGCACCTCTGCAGAACCTCTTGGGTGGTGTGGAATTTTGCAAGCTGTTTTAAGCCTTTCTAGTCGATGTGGCAACAGCGGGCGAGATCCGGGAAATTGCAGATTTCTCACGGCGGCTCTCAAAATGTTGCGATTTTTTTTTGAACTTTCAAAGTTAAATAACTCGGTTATTTTAGAATTATTTTAAAAATGGTAAAGAGAAAATATGTTTCTTTTGGCCAGATCTACCACCCCTTAAAATATCTGCACTTATGTCTGGGACACCCTGTATATTTGGCGTAAAATCGTATAAATCTGGAAAAACATTGTGTCAGGACTTGAATTGCAGCAAAATTACTCTGATTCTTAGAAAGAGGCTTGACCTAATAATATTTAATTGACTCTACCTAAAACAAAACCAGAGAATCATTGTGTCTATCCTACTTTACATTTAAAACATTAAAAAATATAGAATATCACTAATAAACCGGATTTTAAGTCAGCCATTTTATTCAATGCAACATAGCAATACAGCTGTCAAATTAATTTATTAAAAATTTCAAACAATCAGAGCACTTAAAATTGAAATATGATATAAATTTAAACTTGTAGTTTTTACACAAAGTTACCCACAAATTTTGTTGTTTAAAATTAGTTTTAAACATTAAAAAGACATAAGTAAAATGACTAATATTTAAGGATTAATACAATAATGAAGTCCCTAAATCTTAAAAATAAACAACAAATAATTGAATAATGATCTTTACAAATACAAGCTCTTATCAGGACGTGCCTTATTTCATACAAAATATCTAGCCATTCAAATTGTATTTGCCTAAAGTCTTAAAATTATAATCTTTTGTATTATTATTAGCATATGTAACAATGCAAAAGAATATTAATAATCCCTTGTCTTAAAGTCAATAAGAAAGTTTCTCTAAAAATATTTTTAAACGAGTTTTTCACCCATTAACTCAAACCATTAAAATAAAATTGCATAAAAGTATTGCACCTTTACATGGTATATTACCATAAACCTTTAAACTCTGCACCTTGTTATAAATCTAAAATCTTAATTATGTTATCATTACCAGCCATAAAACTTGTACAATGAATCATGTAAAACTAATAAAAAATGCTCATTAATTTGGTATACTAGGCACATAAAACTCCATTCAAAAACAACTACCGGTATGCTTTATACATTAATTTAACATTATTACTGCAGTCAAACGATGTTATGGCCTTGGGAGGACAATTTTCCACAGTCTATAATTTTATCTCTATGATACCGAGGAATTAAACAACATTATATCAAATAAATAGAGTAAATTATTTTCGTCATGTTGTTAGCTCAATATTAACTCCATCACCTTCACAAAAAAAAACTTTATAAAGGTTAATAATACCTCCCTATCACTTTCTATTGGCTCATTAAAACATAAACATTGTTATTAAAAAACTTTACGTACGTACCATAACACAAAGTGTGATATCTGGAGCTAGGCACCATCTCTTTGAAGGATTCCTTTAAAAATTCGTACGAGCTAAAATATATGGCGTGTGAAGGTCCCGCGCCTAGTACCATGGCCCCCATGCCCCTTATAGGTCTCAAAATGCCCTCTTGCCTGACCATTTTGACAAAAGTTTGTCCTATCCCATCAGAACCAGTTGCCGCTAACGATTGCATTCTCGTCTAGAGAAGAACAACAAATTAGTCTTCATAATATTCTAATTTTATAATAAAAATACGTAATTTTAGTTAATAAGTTTGTTTTTTATATGTAATCAATAAATAAAAGGGTATTACATAACCTCAAATTACTTTCTATTTGCCTAATTTAAAAGGATTATTAAGAAATAAGCCCGGAGGAATAAATATTATAATTCGTTTAATAATTATTTCGTTAATACAAAGCATGAAGAACGGAAAAATGTTAAATCATAGTTGAATGAATTTGAACAGCCTTGAACTTGAATTTCTAACATAAAATATGAAAGGACATTGTTGTTTTAATGCTATATCTAAAACAAAGTGTAATTTACGACGAAATTCTTGAAAAACATCAAAAATCAACGAAAAATATCCAAATAATATAGGTTTGAAATCCGTCTTCGATTCCTAACCTCAAAATATGGCCCGATTCGAAATGGAAAAGTTAGCATATTGAAGAGGACTTTTTAGCGGTGTTTGGTAAATTTGAGCATCCGAAGACACTTACTTTGACGGAATCAAGGGGGTACATTACGCAATGTTCCATAATTCCGGCAATGGCACCCGCAATCATATGCGTTCCAACATTGTCAGTGGGAAGAGTTTCATAATCATCAGCGTTCATTTTCAGAATTAATCGTAAGTTTGGTCGTGTTCTGGTCGCGATGCGGGACTTGTCCGAGCAAAAGCCTCTCTTTCCTCAGTCCGGCGGTCGTTGTCAGTGCTTCCTTGCAAAATCCGAGTTTCTTTTCCACAAGTTCCACGAAAAATTTTGCCCTATTAACGGCTCTGCTTCCACCAACACGCACAACGTTTGCAAAAAAGAAACTGGCGGATTCTTCCATTCCCCCCACAAATTTGACACTTGGAAGCTGACGCGGTTGCCAGATTTTTTCCTAAATTTTATCATAAATTACTAAATTTTTATTCAAAAATTTCGTCAAAAAATACTATCGTGTTATTTAATTAATTGAATTATAGTTTTGAAATGATTTTGAATAAAAGTTACCAGAAAACAAGCAAAGCATATAGATATGATTGAGATTTTTAATTAAATATGGATTTTTTTCGTAAAAAATTGCACAATGTGACATCGCGGCATCCAACCACATTTCTTCTTTTCAGCATGACTTGTCACGTGACCTATGATGCGCCAGAAACACGAGCTTGGAGTCCAACGAGTTCCTAGACTAGAGTTTTAACATCCATTGATTAGATCAAGAAAATTAATATATTAAAATTTGACAAATAAATTCGATATGATTCATGAATGAACATTCACGAGTAAAACTAAAATTTGGTAAGAAGAAATCTATTTATGTAAACTATTTAATACCTTTATAATATGCAATTATAAAATTTGAATCCAACGAGTTTCAATACTAGAGTTTTTCGTAACTCTAGTATTGTAAAAATTTACATAAAAATAACAACGATCTTCACTTCCAAGCCATCTATGACGCCGTATGGCATATTTAATGAGTGGTAATGGTGTGGATCCGGTGGCTGACCTTGAAACGAGTTTTTGCTGCATATAGTCACAGACACTACGCATGCGCACATCTTCGATGTTGCCAGATTGTGAGTTATTTTGGAATTATTTTCGGTAGAAAACAAATATGTACTTTTCAGTGTTTTTTTGTCAATATATACCGTATGATCGAAAAAACGGCGTCCAGTTGTCTGGGAAATGACGATTGAGGACATTTCCATAAAATGACAACGATCTTCATTTCATAGTCACTGCTGACGCTATTTTTTTTTTCAATCATAGTACGTGGTATATTATTTTAATATTTCGCACAACACGTGAACGCTTATTATGTATTTTCAGTCAATAAAATTATATAGAAATAAAACTCTAGATTCCTATCTAGATTATTATGCTACGTTTAAAAAGTGCTTTATTAAAAATTCGGGAAATTAAAAGGGATGTGTCCAAATTTTTTCTTTTTTTTTAATTTTTAAATGCTGTAGTTCCATGTCATGTTCATAATAGATTTTTTTTAACATTCCATCAAAACTACGGAGGCCTTAAAAGGCCTTTTAGCCTCCGTAATTAAAATTCTAGAATCGGCTTCAGCAACATTAACAGTTACCTTGTTTAATTCTGCTTATAGACATATTGCATTAATTTTTCTGCTACATTAAGATTTCTCTATTCTTACACCTAATTTATGTGATTTTCTTAGCGTATATGATTTATAAACCATATTTTCCTAATGGAAGGATGAATAGGATATTATGCAAAATTAAGATATTTTAACATTTATTTTCCAGACCAAGCATAATATAGTATTAAGATGAAGACATAACAAATATTATAAGAAAGATCTTAATATAAATCACAAACTAAGTCTTAATTTAGTCTTGTATTTCTATTATTATTATTATTCTTATAAAACTAATAAGATCAAAACTCAACCTTCACCATATTGTCAAGATTTGGCATTATAGGAAACAAGAAATTACAGTAAATTAAGAAATGAATAACAAAGTACACGATATTAAATACTGTAATGTATTTTACGATACAAACCATCTCCCTTCTAAAGAGAAAAAGATAAAACATAAAGCTTATTTTAGTCTTATCAACACACTCTTCGATAAAATCCACTAACTTGATATCTATGCTTGATATTTTTAAGAAATTATGATACAAACATTAATTATAATCAAAGTATATTATATTATTAACATTATATAATAGGTAAAATGTTACCTCTATCTCCGATTGATGTTTATTGTTCTATAATAAGACCCGTCATGGTAGTACTTCAAAACATCAATACATGCATATAATCAAAAATATTGTTGCCTGTAAATAACTAGAAATTAAATAACTTGAAAGAAATAAAATAATTCTAATAAGTTTAAAACCATTCAGAAAAAATCCGCAAATGATAAATTTTAATTCTAATGTAAACATATAAATAAATGTTATTATTATTACAATTTTATATATTATAATACTTTTATTTCACAATCTTCATTATCCTTCTTACCTTAATTTTGGATATCAAGATAAATCTGAAATTATAGAATTTGTATTATTATTGATTAACACGCAAAAAAAAAGTTTCAACTGCAAATAATTCGAAAATAAACTGCAATTTGGCAACATCGACGATGTGCGCTTGCGTAGTATCGATGATCAAAAGCAGCAAATATGGATTTCAAGGTCAGCCACCGGATCCACACCTTTACCAATGAGTGAATTTGAAGCTTATAAAAAGAAATTTATCATGACAACGTAATAATTTCGGTTTTTTACAGTAGGTACATGATTTGTTATCAACCATAAAAGTTTATGGTTAGTTGGAACATGGTTATCTACAGCAAACAGGTGAATAAAACGCATTAATTAATGTTTTAAATCTGTATTTTTCTCGTCCGAACATGCTTAATAACAAATATGTAAAATCTAAAGCATTACAAAGGTAAATAGTACCTATAGAAACTTATCTGTTAAAATTTTTATTACAAATAAATATCAACATATTCCTATCAAACCTTTACGAATTATTCCTACAAAGTGAAAAAGAAAAAAAAACAATTTTTACAAGGCATCTATATATAAATTTAAATTACGTAGGTACAACAAAATAAATAAATATATATTTTTATATTTTCTCGATTACAACAAATGTGTCGTAAGCGAATATACAAACAAGGGCTAAGAAAAAACATTTTACAATAACCAAAAAAATCCCTTTTTTCTACTTAAATGTATAAAATATATAAAAATATAAGCTTATATGTCGAATAGCAATTATTACTCAAAAATGTATTTCAAAGTCAAATGTTTTTGTCTTTTGCTAGAATTACTTCAATAATTATTAAATGCAGATTAATATATCACAAATATACAGCATCCCAAAAAAAATCCCTCATCAAATTTGAAAAATGTCAGCAGAAAAATCAGGAAGTTATTCAGGAATGTTATACTCAAACAAAATAGAAATGCATTGAATGTTCTAAGCATTTGACTTCAAAGTAGTTCATCAAAAATTCATTAGAAAGATATGGCAAACGTTAGACGTTATTTTGACATTTACGTCTGTCTAATTTACGGTTATAATACCACAAAATAACGGAGATTGATTTTTTTGTCCGAAAATCTGTTAACTCGATCTTAACCTAACATTTATTTCTTTCTGTATTTTCCGTTTTGTTAATTATATCGACAATATTCGTATCTGTACTCTTTGAAAATTTGTTACATCTTTAAAAATAATCTAAAATGTCAATATTCCATGGGTATATTGATAAATGAGGTCTAAATTATAAGAAAATGCATTTTCTACGAAAACTTGTTGAGATAGGTAAAAATAGTATAATACAATTTTGATAGACAATTCAATTTCGCATCTGATTCTCGTAAAATATACAAGGTGTTCCATTTAAATTATAGAAATTATTGCCGTTTAAAGCTAGTAATTATTTAAAATACATTTTTAGACACTCTGTATAAGGTAGTATAATTTTTATTATTGCAACACAAAATTTAGTAAATAGAAAAACTTCAGTACAATATTTGGTTTTAAAAACTTAAACGCGCCCAGAGAAAGAAAACATTATTAAAAAACTGTATTTTGACAAAAACGTGAATATTTCAAAAACGGTAAGATTAAAATGCGGTAAATCTTAATCAAATTTACCTTTATTCTAATCGTAGAAACTAAAAATGTAATAATATACAGGGTGTTCCATTTAAAAAATACAACTTTGATATTTATTATTTATTTGGGACACTCTGTATCTTGTAAAAATATTTTTAAATTGTAGCTCTAACAGTCCTTCAACGAACCCAGAACTTACAATTTGTAAAAATCTAATTGTTTAGCTACAATACCCCGTGTCGTATTTGGTGAATAACCCTGTATACAAAAGATCTTGAAGTGGTAATTCTGGATTTCCCCCGTATTATTTAAAATAAGTCCCGAATGACCGACTTATAAAATAAGGTTATTAGCGCATAGACGTCTATTATGACACTTTAACCGTCAAACCTGTCAAAATAACGCCTCCGTCAATATCGCACATCGTTGCCATATCTCTCGATTAAGACCAGTCAATGTCAAGCACTCTAAAGAAGCATAATATACACTAATCTGTCCTACAATGAACAAAGTATTCAAAAAATCAATTTCCATATATTAATATCCATATTTTTCCGTTTCATCTTAACCTCTAAAAATATTCTTACTCTAAAAAAATATTTATAATAGTTTATTTTTATAATATAGCTGTCTTATTGTTTTAGTTTATATTCATTTCTAAAATTTTGAAGTTATTCTATCAGCTCTTCGAAGACTCTTCACAAAAATGGTTCTGTTTTTGCAATATAAATATTATTTGGAAAAATAAGATAGCAGCATTAAAATAGCTGCTCGCGATGTCAAATTTTTGTTTAATTGATCAGCAAAACTGTTTTAATACTTATAAGTTATGGCAAAAATTCTTTAATCTATGAAAACAAATATATAAAAAATGAAGGAACAATATTTTATAACAGTTTTGCAGAAAAATATTTTTATAATTGAGCGTCCGAATTGCACAACGACCTTAGCGCGTGGCCGCGGGCAGCCCAGTAGGCAAGCGACATGGTACAAAGAAAACAAGGTATGATCGATAGCGGCTCCAATTTCATTAAATTTGCGCATACCACCTGTGACGTCATACGCCATACAAAAAAATATTCATATTGTCCAATTGCCACTAATAAAAAAAGACTTAAAATAGGGAAGAATTGGGATATAACCCCAAAAGTTATGTCAAATCATCGAGCTTGACATTTGAAAAATTATTTTCACATTTATTATGTCATCTGTTTGACAATTTGAAATTGGCGCGCGGAGCTTGCCGACCAATGGTGCCGTTTATCACCTGTGACGTAGTGACCAACCTGCGCAATATCATACCTTGTATTCTTTGTATCATGGGCAAGCGAGACAGCGACGCGCCGATTTAACAAAATAAATAATTTTAAACCTGCCGTCGTTTCGTTAATAATTATCGTATCGTGTTGATTTTTGCATAGAAATACTCATGAGTCTTTAGCGCTTCCGACAAGCCTAAATAATTGGATTATCTTTTATATTTTCGATTTGTTTACATTGCCCGAGCATATTATAACTTTGAGATAAAAATCTCTGTTATAAATTTTAAAACTGACAGATATGAATACTATCATTTAATTAGTTATACATTTAGTTACAACATATTCATAATTTAGGTCTATCGGTTAATGCTAACAGTAATAACGAGTATAAATAAAAAAATGGTCAGTACAACGCTCGCCGTTTTTAGCACACGTTCAGCTTTGGGTTTAGTTTTAGCGCTATTTTTACAGAAAATAAATTCTGAACTTTGATCAAATGACAAGAACATTATCATTGCCGATATCTCCTGGTTATAATGTAGTTCTTTTTTCAAAATATTGCATTGTTTTAGCTTAAAAAAAACTTGCGGCTTTTTTGCGAGAGCTACCGGCGGCGGCGCTGCGTTAATAAAGAGATGGCTATGTACGTCAATCGAAAGACAGTATTTGCGATAGTCTTTTGTTTACACGGAGTATATAAAATTTTTGCCACAGCTTGTTTACTACCAGTAGTATTTGTGCTTTTTTTAAATTATTTATTATTAAATAGAGAGAAATGCGACCGAAAAGAAAGGTCAAAAGTTAGTAGAAATCCGGATAAATGGAAGTGCAATATTTCCAAAAAATCTCGTGACGAGGTAAAATTACAGTCTATTGTGGCTATGATTGACGTACATAGCCATATCTTTATTAATGTAGCTCCGGTAGCTCTCGCAAAAAAAGCCGCATAATTCAAGTTTTTTTAAGCTAAAACAATGCAATATTTTGAAAAAAGAACTACATTATAACCAGGAGATATCGGCAATGATAATGTTCTTGTCATTTGATCAAAGTTCAGAATTTATTTTCTGTAAAAATAGCGCTAAAACTAAAACCAAAGCTGAACGTGGGCTAAAAACGGCGAGCGTTGTACAGACCATTTTTTTATTTATACTCGTTATTACTGCTAGCATAAACCGATAGACCTAAATTTTGAATATGTTGTGACTAAATGTATAACTAATTAAATGATAGTATTCATATCTGTCAGTTTTAAAATTTATAACAGAGATTTTTATCTCAAAGTTATAATATGCTCGAGCAATGTAAACAAATCGAAAATATAAATAATAATCCAGTTATTTAGGCTTGTCGGAAGCGCTAAAGACTCATGAGTATTTCTATGCAAAAATCAACACTCTACGATAATTAATAAAGAAATGACGGCAGGTTTAAAATTATTTATTTTGTTAAATCGGCGCGTCGCTGTCTCGCTTGCCTACTGGGCCGCCCGCGGCCACGGGCTAAGGTCGTTGTGCAATCCGGACGCTCAATTGAATATTATCATTATGATCAAGTATAATTCATTAAACACAATGCTCATCTACACTAATCACAGAAAATCACAAGATTTTATCTGTTTAAAAATACATGAACCATAGTGCTGTTTAGGTATATTTATTTTTTGACAACCTCATGATAACCATATTGTTTTCTGTGTTTTATTTTGTATTATTTTTCTTTTGTATATTGTATAAATTTCATTATTATATCTAAAGGATCTTGTACTTGATCATAGATAATATTCAATCTTTCTTTGTAAAGGTACATAATATAGATTTTTTTAACAAATAAATATCGAAATTTTATGTATTATAATATAAAACACATGATACTTCACCACATTCGACGTCCTTTTTTATGGCAAGACATTTTGAAACATTCTTAAAGTGTGTACCTTTTTTTTCACGTCATTTTGAATATTATTGTAAAGCCGCCTTTAGAAAACAATAAAATATATTATCTGCGTGCACATATCCCTTTCCAGTTCTAGCACAGAACTAAGTGCTGTTTCACATGGAGCGGGCCATCGTGTGTTTTTTTAAATATAATATATTGTTATACCGCATTTACACAATGAGTGGAGAGTGAAACCAGAGAAAAGAAATAGGAATATCAATTTTGCATAAGTCTATCCTATTCGTTCGATAGGATTTTCGTGCGCACGTACTTCATCGCTGAAGGCTATCACCTGCTCGCGCACTATTTTAAACTCTAAATATTAATAACGTATAATAAATTATTTTTTTATTGGTAATGGCATTATTTCAACCTGTTATTTTAGATATTCATCATATCTATCCGTTTCTTGTTTTTGTTTAAATATGTCAGAGATTAAATTTAAATTTATAAGTAAAGGCGGGAATAGTCAGATGCTAAATTGATTTATGCAAAAAAACTACTTCTATTGGTTAGTATGAAGCAAGGGTTCGACGAATAACCGTCGGACAAAATCAACCGGACGGACAATCCGTTCCATGTGAAACAGCTCTAAGAACTGACATTCCTCAAGGTCAATATAATAGGCTGCGTCTACACTTAGTTGAAGCTGCGCGAGTACAGTGAAGGATCTGAAAGCTTTTTTCAAGTCCATTATGGTAGCGTGTGTAGCAGCATTTTTCTTGGAGAGAACCACATGTAAAATGGTATCTAAAGAGTTCTAGGCAGAGGCGTACGGTCTGATTGGTCTGAACAGTTTAAAAGAGTCGTGCCCGACGTTTCAGCTCGTTCCTACGCCACTGGGGCAAGCGATAGAAGTCCGTCCTGGGTACCTGGAAGATCGCCTCGAATTCCTGGTCAGACAGATGGCGCTGGAAAAAAAACATTATTATTTAAGCTTCATTCAGAACCTCAAAATTAGTGGTTTCAATTACTACTTATTTTACAAATACAGGGTGATTCACGGCCATGGCACGTTAGACGTTTATTTATGGTTATAGCTTTTTAAAATTTTTAGACATTGTGAGACAGGAAATTGTGGAGAGAAACAAGCCCTATAACATAGGATACAACAATTTAATGCACAGTGCTTTCCATAAAATCAATAAAATGAAAAATATGCGAAATAATATACATGTACTGATTTCTTTCGAAAATCGACAACTATGAAACTATGATCCCTTCCCCGACACAAACGGTACATTGTGAGACAGGAAATTGTAGAGAGAAACAAGCCCTATAACATAGGATACAACATTTTAATGAACAGTGCTTTGCATAAAATCAATAAAATGAAAAATATACGAAATAATATACGTACTGATTTCTTTCGAAAATCGACAACTATGAAACTATGATCCCTTCCCCGACACAAACTGTACTTTGTGAGACAGGAAACTGTAGAGAGAAACAAGCCCTATAACATAGGATACAACATTTTAATGAACAGCGCTTTCCATAAAATAAATAAAATGAAAAATATACGAATATTTGAAACCAAACAATTTTTTTTGCTACCGCTTTTCAAACGATGCGGCAACACTGTGATGCTTTATGTAAAAGGTAGATGCCTTTATGTAAAAATTCAAATTCTATTACCGGTTTTCCATAAACGTTTAACGTGCCATCGCCGTGAATCACCCTATATAAATTACAAATATTTGAACTAAGGATTTATCTCACTGTACCTCTAGGTTGAGCCTGTCCACGTCGGCGGGCAAGCGATAATTAGTGATGACCAACAGGTGGTAGGGGTAGATCTTGGCCGGCTCGCTGATGAGCATCTGATGAGCCATGTTGGGCAGGCTGCGCCTCATCTGTGAGCCGTACCCGACGCTGGTCCCCGTTCCGTACCGGCCCACCGCGTACGACACTGGTCCCAGTTCCGAGTGCTACAGGAAGGAAAAAGTCAGTTATTTTAGATATTTGAGTTATTTTCAATATTTTTATAGGTTATGTAATGAAGATTTATTTCTTAGATCATGTTTATTTTATTACATGATCTAAGTGAGTTTATTACTCTATCTTATTATAGTTAAAAAGTGAGTTTATTACTCTAGACAGATGTTTGTAACTTTTATTTAATGATTTTTATTATAAATATACAGGGTGGTCCGAACTGTATTCCGAAAACTTCGGCAGCATATTGTGCAGATAAAAATAAGTAAAAAAGTTCATATAAATGTATATCCTAAAATGCTTAGTTTTAGAGATACAGGGTGTAGAAAATTCATTTTTATTTCGATTTTTTTCAAATAATTTATGAAGTAACGTCAATATTTGGATGAAAATTTGTGTCTGGGAGTTTTTTGCCATGAGAAATTTGATTTTGATGTCAATATGACTCCTATTTGTAGGGGGCGTACAACATACATGCGTTTTAACCATTTTAAAGTGTAATAACTTTTCGTCCGTACCTGTATAAAGCTACTGAGTGAAAAAATATACATTCATCCAAATATTGACGTTACTTCAGAAATTATTTGGATAAAATCGAAATAAAAATGGGAATTCTACACCCTGTATCTCCGAAACTAAGTATTTTAGGACATACATTTATACGAACTTTTTTACTTAATTTTTATCTGCATAACAGAACTTACTTTTATCTGCTGACAAAGTTTCCGGAATACAATTGGGACCACCCTGTATACAAATTGTTTATTTAAAAATTATCTGTAGGAATAAAAAAAGAACAGAATAGTGACAACCATCTACACCCAGATGCAAAAAAAATCGCAACAATTTTTGGTTTGGTTTGGTTGTTATATTTTTGTTATATTTAGCTCTACATTCATGATTTTTTTAGCAAGCTGTATATAATTATATCACTTTAATTCGTAAACTCAGTTCTTTTAAAAACTTTAGTATTTGTCATATTATACAGTGTTAAACAAGGGGTTGTTTTTTTTATCCTAACTTTAAAACACCCTGTGCAATAATTTCGGGTGTAAATTTTCCTAATAATAAGCATTTTATTTTTTGGATCATACATGCCTTGGTTAATTTTTAAGAGCGAAATGAACTTGCCACCAGCAATTTGCAATTTTTTCAATTATCATTTGTAACGAAAATATTTTCGTTACATTTTTCCTTTTATATCGTTTATCCGATTTTTTTATATATTATCGATTTTTTGCGGAACCTCGATAGTGGTACACATCACTAGCGATGGTTGTTAGTTTAAATTGTTTAAATATTTTATATATTTTCTGGTTGCCTATGGGTTACCGATAATAATTTGTTTATTTTTAATGAAAACGAAGGTTTATTATTAATATTTTGTTTAGTGTTAAATAATTAAGATGCAATTGTTACACACATTTTTTTGAAGGTATGTAGGAAATTTTATCGTATTTATTATTTTTACTATTAATTATAAATTTTTATATTGACATTTGGTACTTAACGCATGTCTAAATGAATGGGAGAATTCTATAAAGGGACTTGTTTTGCCGAAAATCAACTTCTCTCATCTCGATCTTCTTTGCTTAAACACCTAGTTTTTTTTTCCAGACACCGGCACGAGGTACGACTTGGAAATTATTTATTAGTTTTATTTTTTTAAACATTTCTTACTATCTAATATGATTTAATTATTTGATTTAATTATTTAATTATCTTGTAACTTTAAATTCCTTTTTCTATTTTATCTTTTTATCTCACAGTTCATTTTTTTTATCATCATTTCTTTATCTTCTTATCTTAGTAGCACGTGTATGGTAGTTTTGTAAATTTTTTTCTAATACCTTTAACTTTTATTTGGTACTAATTATTTTTATCTTCCTTATTTATGTACTGAGACGCAAGCTGTCGAACAGGAACCCGCAGAGGTGTTCGATTTAGCAATCTCAGGGGCCATGAATAGAATCAATCACTGCAGGAGTACTCTCAGAGACGAACCAGGAGGGACTCTGGTAAGTAAGGATTTTTTATAATATTTATATTATACGACTTATGTCACCTTTAACGAATCCTTGCTTGCCAGAAGGCAACTCTTGTTTTATCTGGACCCTGTAGTGGTGGTGTCTATTGGCAGGCCATTCGACAGATAGATTTTTGTTTTTTGTTGTTTTTGGGTCACTCTAGGGAACGTATCTTTACCTCGTATCTGCCAAATTTACCTTACCTTATCTTATTTGGCGGATGCATTATCTTGGTTCCTGGAGTGACATATCTTTTCTTTTAGTTTTTATCTGTCGAATTGCCGCATTTATCGTTTTTCGTATCTTATCCTATCTTTCTATTTACCTTTATCTTTCTATCTAGTTTTTTAATTTATCTTTTAATATCGCATTTTAGTATTAACTTTTGTTCTAATTTAAATTTTCATATATTTCTAGTTTTTTTGTCTTACATATTTTTTTATTCTTTTTACACGTGTCTACAAATTAAATCAAATAATTTATTGTAACAATATATATATTTTTTTTCAAGTCGTACCGAAGTGATTGTGGTGGTCTGGAATTTTCTAGAGAGAGAGAGCAAAATATTTTTCTTTTATATTTTTTTTATAATTCTATATTTATATTCTTTATATTCTTTAAATAATTCGGACAATCAAGCTGGGATACAACAGAGTGTCAAAACAAAGTGAGGTTAAGCACGGAGAGAGTGGACAGAAGCGATGTTGACAGCGCGCGCCTCCACAGAATAGTAACAGGGTTGTGTCGAACGATAACAAGGTTGGCGACTAGGAAACGTAAAAATTACGCGTCAAATAAACTATCCGGCCTGAACGAGAGGGAATCCGGTGATGATAGGCCAGACATCATATATTATATATAAAAAAGACATGTAACGAACTAAAAACGTTACACATTTCTTTTTGAAGTTATTTTTCAATACAAAGTATTAGTGTATTTTTTACAATTTGTTTTTCTGTTTGTATACTTGAGTATTACAGATGTTTTCTTTAACATCGTTAGTTCTGTTATCGTTATTAATATGTATTTATTAAAACTCGGATTATATCGTTTAATTTAGTATAGAGTATCCAATGCAGTGTAATATGACGTTACGATAATAGTCACCAAAACCATCTCGTCATATTAAAAACTTACATCAAAAAGTATCGATAATTAAAAAAATTGCAAATTGATCGTTATCAATTCATTTCGCTCTTAAAAATTAACCAGAGCATGTATTGACATGAATCAAAAAACAAAATGCCCAGAAGTCATGGTTCTGACTGTAAAATTATATTTTAGGAAAATTTACAGACGACATTATTGCACAGGGTGTTTTAAAGTTAAGGTAAAAAAACAAGCTAATATGCCAGATACTAAAGTTTATAAAAAGCTGAATTTACGAATTAAAGTTGATATTATTATATACAGCTTGCTAAAAAAATCATGAATATAGGGCTAAAAATAACAAAAATATAACACTTTAAATTTGATGAAAAATTTTTCCGTTGCCTATTTTTTGCAACTGAGTTTAGAAAATAAAATTAACAAATTTGAATATATTTTAAAATAATGAATAAATTTTAGCTGATAAAAATAAATGTAATGTTAGGCTACTCTAAACTAAAAGTGCATGCAAAAAAAAATGAAGAAAAAATGTTAATACAGCACAAAGAAAAAATATCAGGCAAAGACGAAAAATAAAACAAAGTATTAACAAACAAACACACAACAGAAATAAAAGCATTATGTACATACCATACGCGTCTCGACATCCGTGATTGATCCAGTTGAAACTGAAGAAAAAGCATTTGTCAATTGTCAAGTTAAAAATCAACTTTTCCTTAAAAGTAGTTAAAAAGTTATATATCGATTAGGAGAATTCATAGAAAAGTGCACCAAGGAAATACGTCTATACCCCAATCTACGTCACTAAAGGCAAATCAGATATCTTAATATAAACATACTCTGCAAATGGTAAGTAATGGTGGCTGAAAAAAGTGTGAGTGTATCGGAATGATTTATTTTAAATGAGACACCCTGTATATTATTGCATTTTTGGCTTCCTTACAGAACTTCACACGTAATCTTAAGGTATGAGTAAACATATTTCGATAGTCTCAGAGTTAATTAATTAAAAATTCATTAATAAATAAATAAATAAAAAATATATATTTTTCCGTCTTCCTTAAAAAAAATTATTAAAAATACAAGAAGTCCTGAAATCAAAACTTTATTAGGTATTTACCTTAGATGTCTGTACTTGCTTTGCTATAACTAGGGTAATCGTAAATCATACAGGATGTTCAAAATTCTACGCCATCCTTTCTAAAATATAAAATAATTTGTTTTTTTTTTTAAATGGAACAGACTGTATATTATCTTTTCAGTAGATGGAGAATTAAAAAATTAACATTTTTTTGTGTTTAGAGTATTTCAAAATTTTTAACGGTTTCGCAGATATTCGCTGTTTTATATTTCATATTGCATTTTTCACAGTAAATTTTTATCAAAGCTACCCAATGATTTTTCTTTGTAGTCTGGTTTGGTTCGGTTAGGTTAGGTTAAATTTAGTACATTTATGTCAACTTTTGTCTAAGACGACTAAGACAACACTGAAGATAATAATTTTAAAAATTAAACCATTAAAAAATTAGGCTGTTATTACTAGAAATAACATAAGGTTTGTTCGAACAAAGAAATTTTAATTGGCGGATTTGAAGGGCATGTTTGAAAAAGTAACATCTGTTTTAATATTTCAGTCATTGGGGATCAAAAAAGGAGCCTGCTTGGAAAAAAGTTCGGAAGTTTTGTAACTTTTCAGGTTTATAGCACGGGGGTGTCACTTGTATGGGAAACGGGCAACAGTCAAATTTAAACGTGCCAGGAACAACGACAAAGAAAGCAACATCTGCCAGGCATTGGCTTTCTTTGTCACTCACATTGCATAAATCATGATACCGCGGCCATTTTGCCAACAAAGAAGCTGGCCGGGGTGTCCTGGCAAGTGATTTAAAACAATTTTGCTTTTTTACTTTGAGTGAATAGTGAACTATCTAGATCCGATTCATAACATCGTAACCGCGAAAAAAACCATACTTTCGGTAAAAATTATAGTAACACCGGCGATGCCGGCTGTGTGTCCGGTCTAGGAAAAAGTTGGGGAATTTATATAAAAACATAATTAATAGCGTTAGTGTTAGTGTATAGTATTAAACCAACGTAAGTGACGTGTATTTTTATATAAAACAGTTTTCGTTTCTTTATTTTTACTTTGTGAAATAAAAAATTCCGCGACATTGTTCTGTGCCTGTGCCTTGTAGCAGCAATTATAATAAGTCCTCAGGATCTGTCTACATTCTCTTTCCCAACAATATTAACTGTAACTAGGTCACGTCCAAAACCTACAGAACATGCTATGCCTACAATTTTTCCAAATCAGCCCTCTTATGGACCCTCTGTGCATGTTCCCATAAAGAGAAAACGTCCCGATGAAAGAAAACAAGATTTGGAAATTCAGGATGAAATAAATATTGAAAAGTATTATCATTATTATGAAATGGCAATATATTTTAAAGAAATTAAATGAATTTGTACTTTATTTCAGTATTTTATATAAAAAAAATGATATCTTTATCTTTTTATTTACGATTTATGGAGATGGTTACTTGATGAACATCGAACTACAAATTACTTAATGTTAAAAGTTAATTCTATCTGATATCCACATTTTTTAAATATGTTTTTCAAATTTTTACAATTATTTTTAATTAAACTTTAAAATGTATTCTGCCGTTATCATATACAATACATTTTCTTAACTTGTCGATAAACGTATAGTTTTCAAATTTTTTAATATTTGGAAACTTTTTATCACAGGTATATTATTACTAGTTGCTAAATACTCGCTATAGGACACGCTTTTTATTATCTAGATTTTATTTTGTTCATCTTATGGTGTAGTATCATATTAATATTCGTGCTTTAGATCTAAATTTTAATGCTATTCAATTACTTTAACGCGATAAAAAGTTAATTTTATTTTTTAATACCTTTCTGTATAATATTTTACATATTTATATCTGGCAAAACTATCAATAAATACTATTATTTATGCAAAACCTATATGCAGTACCATATGGCAGAATACAAAAGCCGGACTAGTGCGGTGACGTCACAAATCGATGTCTCTGGCCTGTCTGTCATGTTGGTCATGCTAAAATCCATAAAATGCATTTCCAAACTTGCCGCCGGCGCCGCCATCTTGTCAAAATGGCGCCCAAAATGGGTATTTTGTAAATATCTCGAAAACTATGCGTTTTTCGCAAAAATTTGAGGAGAGCCGAATTAAAGAGAAATAAAAATTTCGTATAAAAAAGGTTCTATGAAAAATTTCGCTCAAGTCGACCGTTTAGGCACAAATTCCCTGGAAATTTTACAATGTTGCGTAAATGTATAGTCGATTTTCCGAAATCAAATGTCGATTAGGGTTCACTAAAACTAGTTTTAGTCTAGTTTCTTCAATTTTGTCATGAAACAGTGGCGTATATTTAATTCGCTCATTAATTTACGAATAATTAATTGTCGTGCTGGACAGCATTCATTGCAAACCTATCACCAGGTTCAGCATTGGTCTGGTTGTACCAAAAATGCCGAAGAATGGGATTGGAAGAAAACAAAAACAGGCATTACTCCAGTCGCAACGTTGACAGATCCAGTTCCAAAATCCCTATTGGCATTTTTATCCTGTAAATGCAAAACCAACGACTGTGGTAAAGCCTGCGGATGCACAAAAGCAGGATTAAAATGTTCAATGATTTGTGCATACTGCAATGGGAAATCATGTGACAACGTCACTGAAGTGTCACTCGACGAATCCGATGAAGAGGAGTTGGACTTGCCTGTAGATATCCCTCTGGAGGCTGAAGATGAAGAGTTGAGAGATCACCCTGATGAGCCCAGCACAGCAGACACGATCGACTTTGATATCAATGAGCCAGATCCGTCGGGCTTGTGCAGATAAGTTAAAGTTTTTAATTTACCTAGTGGAGTAGGCCTCCGGGGAGACCACGTTAAAATAAACGCGCCATGTTCTTTACCTCTTGGGTGGTGTGGAAACAAGTACACATTTTCAATAATTAAAATTAATTATTCATAAATTAATGAGCGAATTAATGATACGTCAATTTCATGTCAAAATTGAAGAAACTAAACTAAATCTAATTTTAGTGAACCCTAATAAACATTTGATTTCGGAAAATCGGCTATACATACATTTGTCATATTTTACGCAAAATTGTAAAATTTCCAAGGATTTTGTGCCTAAACGGTTGACTTTGCCGGCGGCGGCAAGTCTGACAATGTGCATTTTATGGATTTTAGCTAGGGACCCCAAAACCTATAAACCTGCAAAGTTTCAAAATTTCCGGACTTTTTTCCAAGCAGGCTCCTTTTTTATCCCCAATGACTGAACTATTTGTAGTCCAAGAAAATAGGCCTTTCCATAATAGGAAAATTTCCATAGAAACGTTGAACTCCCGGTATGATTTAAGATTACGATATTTATAGCAAAGTTATGAAACACACCGATATATTAAGATATCTGATAGTTATATTAGCATGCACCGTTCTTTGACTCCCTTAGGTAAAATTGGTATTACACTCAAAGTGCCGTCCTAGGGGATGCATTTTAATCCTTTGTGGTTAGAATGTGCCTTCAAGACATGCAAAAGCAACAGGCTATTATCTTAAACCGAAATATAATATAAACTTATATAAAAAAATTCGTAAGTATCAAAAAATATAAAATATCTTGATCTGAAAATTCGTTGGTTTGGAAAATATGGTCCCACTAGTACAAAAAAATTATATAGTATATAAAATAAGCAACAACTTGAAGCCTGTGATACTTACTGTCTGATTTTCCGCAACTGAAGTCGGTACTGTGGGTTTTAACACCCATCCCGCTAAACGAATAGTCACCCTGTGGATTATAATTTAAATTAAAACACAAATCCTACACTATACCGAATTCAAATTGGAACAGTTGCTTTGAATGTTGCATAATGAATACACTTGTCTTCAGTATATAACAGAAAAATAGTTATTTTTGGTAATGGTTACATTGGATCAAAATTTGTACGAACCTTTGTTCGTGAGAGTTCGTAAAAAGTCGTCAAAAGAAAAAAATGGATAGCAATACCAATAATTAAACTTTTAGTTACGTAATCGAGGGCGCGATTTTTAAATGCATTGTTGCTAACCATGGACCTATTTGGCGCCGGGTTCTAGTTGCCACATTTATTTATTTATTTCCTGACATTGTCATTCGTTTTAACACGTCAGTGTTTTCGGTTTAAATAAATTGTGTTGTGATACTTTAAGATTAAATTTTTCTAGTAACAGACCCTGTAGTCGAACATTGTTCTTTTTAGAACCTCTTTTAGTGCGAAGTGTACACTTAATACAAAGATAACACTTAATAGTCGTTGCAAAAAACTCATCGCAACCTTATTAGAATACTTTGAACAGGAAAGCGGTAGTATTAGCCATTTATGTCCCTTAAATGCTGTTAATGAGGTGAGTTTTATTGATGTAAATAATAACTGTTTATATATTTATAATTAATTTTTTTTGTTTTCTAAAATATTTTGATTGTGCTTGGGCAACGCTGTGCCGGTCAAGCTTAATCACGTGATTAAAAGTTTATTTGGTATGATCTATAAGTGCAAATATTTCTAATATATGCATCCCAGGGTTGCGCAAAAAAAAATTGGAAAATGTATTTCGAAATTTGTTTTGGAAAATTTTTAAATTTCCAGTTAAAAAACATAATATATCTGTATTGTGTTGTCGCCACTATAATAGATTTGAGAACTCGTGGGAATTTTTAGAAAAAACGAGAAATTTTGTTTCAGAAAGTTGGCAACACTATCGACGATGCGACATACGGTTATTGGGTACCTTCGTGTTGTACAGTAAAGTACTTATCCTATGATTTCGTAATAATTAGGTCTTACAACTTTGTACGAAGTCTTATCCAATGTAATAACCTTTTAAACAGATATATCCAATTTAAATTCAGTATTTTCATTTGACCAAAAATATATCACTCAAAAGTTTACTGTGTCAAAAAACAACTATCCAATCATACTCTACTTAATAACTAAAATAAATAACATAAAACAGAAACACTGATTTATTAACAGTAAACTTTTATCACTATTTTGAAAAACACACATATAAACAGCATGCTATCATTTCTTAAACTAAATAACAAGTATTCGTTCATAAGTTATTAAATAAAATAAATACATTAACACAGGCCTAAGGTTCATTCCAAAAATTATTTAACATAAACATACATAACAATGAAACATAAAGATAATATATAAAATCAATTAATTATTAGTGATCACTGATGAAAATTAAAAATAAAAAGGCAAAAATTAAATTATATTTTTGTTCTACAAGACTTTCTACAACAAAAATGTTTTCAAATGGTATTAGTATAATTTTATATACATTTTTTAGTTTATAAGACAATATAATTATTTTAATTATTTAATTCAGTTAAAAGTTATATACTTAGTATTGTATTGCTAGTATTGCTAGTATTACTTGTATTATTGTACAATTATTGCTTCAGAGTAATAATCAGCATAAAATTTGTTCTAAAAAGTTGTACACAAAAATATTTCAGCAACAAAAACGAACTGGTATAAGAATGTATCATTATAAAGTCCTATTGTAAAGTATTACCGATTATAAACTTTGTTTTTTCTTTATTGTTTTTCGTGGTTCCAATTTTCGGAATCGGACACTAGTTAGGTTACTAGTTTGCGCACATAGCACGCCCACTTATAGCCTCTAAAATTGTGCACAGCGCCTGACCGGCACAGTTATTAGAGAGATATGAGAAAACCGAATAGCGTCATGCAGTATTTACGCGTACCTTATCATGGTTACGATATGCGCGAGTCAATTTTTAACGCAACACCCGCTAATAACGTTACCGCCTGGGGTAATTTGCGGATCAATTACACCAAGCGCTATTTCTAAATAACGTTTAAAAATTGCTTAAATGGGCATGTACGGGTATTTGACAACCGGGGCCGGCCGGCGAGATCTTTTATTTTAGGTTATGTTTGAATTGTTTTGAATTATTACTTTAGTTTTATTAGGTAATTTGATATTTAGCTGGGATTAGTTTTAATTAAATAAATATGGCCCAAAATATGGATTCCACCTCTTCCAATATTAAAGAACCTATAAAGAGGCTTAGGTTTACTGCAGATGACGATAGCCCTTCTAAGAGAATTTGTTGCTTGTTGCCCTAAACCCACTGGCAGACGTTGAACAATAAAGCAGCGGAAATAAGTACTTTAGCCCTTTAGCTTTAGAATACCTAGTAAACAAAACAACTTCAAAGTTTTAAATTCAAAGTTAGGTTAAGTTTAAATAGCGGACGCGACGCGAACAGAATTCTTTCCGATCCGATAACTATAAATGAAGAGAGTTAATACTACCTCACGTAAAGGAAATAACGCCTGGCCTTATTAACGTCCATGCACGCTATTCGATTTAGCTATATCTCTCTATTGCACTGTTTATTGTTATTTTACGCGAGTTTATTTTTTCGCACAGGAAATTTTACTCGTTTGCACATCGTCATAAAGAAGAATTGTCGTACCACGAATTAGGGATAAGATTTTTAAGTATACATATAGTAAACCTAATCTGTGGTATTAATTTCTTTTTGCTTGAAATAAAATTAAACATACCTAATCTTGATTTTAAATCAATAATATTTAACATATGATTGGTGTTTACTTTGGCAACTTTGAAAATAATGTATGATCGGTCAATGATAAAAAATGATTATAGAGAGTCTTTGATATTATTGATTCATTATATTATTTACTCCAAAATAACGATATAACTTCAAAACTAGTATAGACTTTACAGCGAATACATTTTATTTGAGTATTTTTTGAGTATTTATAATACTTTACTATACAGTAGGACTTTTAGAACCCTCTTTTAATGTTCACACACTACACATGTCACCAACACCTGTATACCAAAAATAAGGAGATTTTTTTAAACCATTATTAAAAATTATAAGCTTTTGAAATATCCCAGTCGATAACAAGTTTTACCTAAAAAAATAAGTACTACAACCTCGAAAATATATCAATTGCATCCCATAGCTATCGTTACTGTCCCAGATTTTGCCTTTATAAATTAAAATATTCTAAAAAGACATCCAAAATCTTAACATCTTTTATACCTGGTGCGTACGTCTCAAAAGTGGCTCACCCCTATAACTTTTTAATTTTTTCAGATAAAAAAAAATTTGGTATGTTAGTATATGGAATAAATTAGGATTGATTGACGTATACAATTGTTTTTGGTCACTTCCAGTTTCACCGGAAATTACTACAACTTTTGATTTTTAAAGGACACCCTCGGTATATTTCAACTTTATTTGATAGAAAATGACATTCTGAATAGAACGACATATGTCCACCTTTGACATTTTCGCATATGGTTTATTTGAAATTGTAATATGCGGTTCATAGCGACAACCATAGACAAACAAATGAAAAGAGACTGGCAAATTAAATGACAAAGAGACGGACAACGTTCCCGTAGCGCAACTCAGAACGTAAAATTTCGTTCTATTTATGTTGATCTGCGCATTGCGTCTATTGGGCCCACTATCTCATTCTAATATAACAAGAGAGAAAGAAGCAGCCATATAAAACGTAATTTCTAAATAGAAATTAGAACAATCGCCTTTCGTTTTCGTCATCATGACAACATCATGACAATTCGTCATGTTTGTTAATTTTTCTTTTGGTGATTTACCTTTTTTCTAAACTCTCCATTTTATTGACTTATGAATATGGATAGGGAACAAATTCCTTTGTTCCAGATAGGTATTTATATTTTGTTACTTATAATTTTAGGTTATACTATTTGTTATTTTATTTGCTGCAGGAGCCAGTATCATCTATTTTTTATATGTATTAGTACCCCCTTTCTCTGATAGATACATATGTTAAAGACACCCGGTAAAATAAAAGTAAGTAGTAAATTTATCATCTTATTAAGAAAAAAATAGAAGTAGTAGTGTCAAAAATATTTCGAACCTCTCTTAACATAACAAATTAATACAATTAATTTTTTTCATTTTTTTGGGTAGGTAGCTTATAGCTGGTTTATAGTAACCAGAAACTTTATTGATATACCTATTTTACTTTTGTTTTAGGATTAAAACTGGACTTGAAAATGGTTCAGGATCATGATTCTCGTAAAGTCTTCTTTGCTTGGATATTCACTTTGTTATTGCAATTAGACAGTTTGTTTTCGAAAATGAGATTTTTAATGCCCTTTAAAAAATTGGCCGATCGTTTCCTGCAACAGTCAGTTCTTCTGCATTTAAAATTGGTAGGTGGGTAGAATAAACATTGTTATTTTTTGTTATTATATTATAAAAAGTTTATTTATTTTTATGTATAAATAAATATGTTTATAAAACAGTACAATTTTTGCTTTTTTTATAATTTCCCTTATAATAGTAGTATATCTTTCGTTCTGAAAGAAACTGCAAATTTTCACTTAAACTGATTTATTCCCTACACCACGTTCCCTTTACGTGGTATAGGGAATAGATCAGTTTAAGTGAAAATTTTCAGTTTCAGAATGAAAGAATACTACTAATAATGGCTAATTTAAATTTCCCGCCAGCCAGAATGTGCGATAATGTCTTACGATACGTTTTATACCTATCTCTTTCTTTTTCATATAAAGCACACATAATAAAGAAAGATAGCAATAAAGACGTACGTCCTGCCATGGTCCTGCTAATTGGTTTCAAAATTGTTATTCTGAGTTGCGCTACGGGAACGCGGTCCCACTCTTTACCATGGGATTTGTCAGTCTCTTTTTATTTGTTTGTCTATGGCGACAACTTGACTCGAAATACCCAGTGTGTGGCACCAAATTATTGGTAAAAAAACTAACATAATTTTAAAAAATCTCCTTATTATTGGCAACTCAAAAACCCCACACTAATAAAAACCAACCAAACAAAAAACTGGTTAAAAACAACAGAACTGATGTACAATCTCCAAAACAAGGGAATAGGGGGCGCAAAGTAACTAAGGACACTTACAGGAATGTGAGGGTAACTACCCGCCGACGACGAGAAAGTATGAGAGCGGGGAGCCAGACCATATCCGGGTTTTGGGACATGTCTCAGCGCACTAACAACTGCGTGCCAAACAACAACAAAATGTCAGAAGAATTGAAAGAAAACGATGAAATGTCGACAAGAAAAAAAGAACTTGCAATATTTGTTTATAAATTAAAAAAATATATTTTTCTTAGTGAATTTGGAATAAATAGGAATAAATTAGTGAACCCTGAACCTCGAAATTAGTGGTTTCGTTTAGCGTAGAAGTATGTTCCTCTAATTTCAATATAAGCCTTCAGAACGTTAAAATTTGTAGTAGTAATTTTCAGTTAGTAGAAAAAGTTAACAAACTCTTAATTTTTTCCACTAATTATACTTAATACGTAATTTTGGCCTTTGATTATCATCTGTCAAGAGAAATTGTGGTTAAAAATAAAAGGTTTACTGTTTTATAAGCCAATTATTAGGCTTTTCTATAGATACAACTGACTGCCTTCGGCAAGCTGTTGCTGGAATATTTTATTAATTTTAATTATATTTTTTAGACACTGTAAATGATCGTACACTCTTAAGTATAAATAATATTTGAAACAACTAATTTCGAGGTTGTGGATGAAGCTTATAATAAGGACTGACAAAGGTTAGTTTTAGGTCGAGATTTACATATGTAAGAAAAGCACAATGCGTTTATGATGTACTGAACAAAGAGTAGACAGTAAAAACGTTGCCAAACGTATGAAATAAACCGAGAATCTGTGCACATTGCTAAGAGACGTGGAAGGGGATACAGCAGATTCGTCGCGGTCGATCGATCGACCCAATCAGTACTTTAAATTCTAGAGAAGGATGTATATCATGCGTACAGCTTTACTATTTAATTACGTCTAGTGATACTATATTTATTTATTTTTTAACGAGTCGTAATTTTCCCTATAGCTTGTACATTTTTAAATGCAATTTAGAAACACTTGCACTTTTGGTAAAAATAAGTGAAATTGAGTTGATGTTCGACAGTGGTCGCGCTATTAAGGTGCGTACTCACTAGAGCATTTTGCTCCGAACGAACCAAACGAGCCGAGCGCGCAGAGCCGAATTTGGCAAGTGAATACGTGTTCGCGCAAACGTGTTCGCGAGCAAAATTTCACCGAACCGAGCACGCCAAACATTTTCGCCGGCCTGTCGGTACTTGCATTTTGCTCAAAGGGGATGCGTTGTTCAGTGGGTACGGAGGTTCGTTGCGTTCATGGTGTTCGTCCTATTCGGAGCATTCGCTGCTAAAAATTTTCATTGTTGAAATGGAGTGGAATAGAGAAAAGTGCCTTCAGTTAATAGACATTTACGAACAATATCCAGTGCTTTGGAGAATCCAAAGGATGGATTATACTATAATAAAGTTAAGAAGTTTGATGCGTGGAGGCAGATAGATGAGATCATGGAATGTGCTTCTGGAGAAGCAAAGAAAAAAATTGAAAGTCTTCTGGCAAGTTTCAGAGGGGAAAAAGCGAATGCAGAACCGTAACCTAAAGATTCAAAACGCGAATAAAAATTAAATAAAGCTGAACTTGGGAACACAGCGAACTAAACAAGCACTCTGAACATCGCGATCTTTTCCTTATTGAGTTCGTCCGTGCGCGCTCGGCTCGCTTGGTTCGTTCGGACCAAAATGCTCTAGTGAGTACGCACCTTTAGAATCGATATTTCGAGATCATCCATTAGAAATAATTGATTGTAGTTTTTTTTCAAAAACTTTCTTAATATTTCCGCTATATTTTCTTCACAGACAGCATGTGAAAATCTTTACAAATAAAAAAGTTACACGATTGCTGAAAATTGCAATGCACTAAAAGTAAATGGATGTTCTTTTTTAAATTTTTGAATGGAAAAAATCAAAACCAAATCAAAAATATGGACACCCTAACAATATCCTTATAATTCCATTTGAGATGCTCAGAAAAATATCTAATACTTTTATCTAGTTATCTTTTCGGAAAAAAAGTCTTTTAAAAATAAGCGGTTTGGTGATTTTACTTGGTGATGTTACTTTTAAAAATAAGCATCGTGATTTTACTTTACTCGATAGGGAAAGGCGTACCGGAGAAATGTGGCAACGCCGCAACAACATACCGACGCATTTCTCTCACTCCGACTTAATAAGGTTCCTATGCGATTTACTGCCACACATGTAAATTCCGACCCAAAAGTAAGAGTTGCCAGCACGGTATAAACATTTTTAAAAAGTTTATGATCTCTCCAATGCAATGATTCGATCCCTGTAGTGTGCATTTTTATATGGGACACTTGTAGGTGATCTCTAATAAACAAGATTTTTTAGAAAGTATTGATTAAATCATAATAATCCACTATAGAAAAAAAACATGATCCAATTTTACAATACAGGGTGTATCATAATTATTGAAAGTTAAAGCTTAAAAGAAAGAATTTAAAATGCACGTATGTAATAAGTAACCAGACAAACAATTTAAAAACAGCAACACCGCAAGTTTAAATATCAACAAACGTTTTAACATTCACTTATAAAACACCCTGTATTGATGTCATAAGTTAACTCTCCCTCATTACAAATTTACTTATTTTAAGAAAAGAGTCGGTGAGTATGTTCCATAGCGAAGATAAAAAATGTTAGAAGCCATATGAACACACAACAGCAACAAACATCATCACCTTAGTCCTTCAACACGCCTGCGCACTGACCTCTTAGTTTATAGAAAAAGAAAGAAAACATTCCACTCAAGCATATCATTCACAAGTCACAAGACTCAAAAATTGTTCTGTTTAAATGTGTGTATATTTTATTTTTCATTTTGTTTCAAAAAAACAACACATTGATTAAAAAGACTAAGGAAGTACATCAATAAATTCTCATGTTTTTTTCTCTCTGTCTCTGTCTGGGCAGATTTGAAGTGAAACATCTTACTAACAGCTATTAAATTTAAGGATTTAAAGGACACGCTTAAAAAAGTGACATATACAGGGAAGACCAGGCTACTAGTAACATAGCAACTTGCCGGACGAATTTACGCTTACCCGATCGCGATCGTACTTGAGATTCACTGCCGGCTAGTCGGCTGGTCAGCTAAAAATACTAATACTAAATAAAACTAAAAATACGACGCGAGGAGTGCCGAGTATTTATTATTTTCATTTTAAGTGTTTACCTTCACTTAAGGTAACATTTAAAATAAAAATACTTAAATATTTATTATTTGAGTGTGTTTACAAGCCAAAACTAAAAATAAATAAATTCTCTAAATCCAAAACTCATTTCCAAAATTAAAAAATACATCAATAAAATAAAAAAAAACTAAAATATTATTCTAAATAAAAAAAAGTCATAGCAAGTGTTCAAAAAGACCACCTTCTTGTGCTAGACAGAAGCCTAGGCGGTCGTAAAATCCCCGTCTGACATTGGCTAACATATTAGGGCTAATAGTTTGGAAAGCCTCTCGTATTTTTACTTGAAGCTCATCCAGATTATTACCCCTATTATGACCATACACTTTGGATTTTACATAACCCCACAAAAAGAAATCACTGGGAGAAAGATCTGGTGATCTAGCGGGCCACAAAACAGTTCCATATCCACTAATAAAACGGTTGGGAAAAGTATTGTTCAAATATTCTTGAACAATACGGGCATTGTGGGCAGGGCAGCCATCTTGTTGAAACCAGACATTGTGGAATCTTTCTTCCAATAACTCACGAATTCTAGGCATAATCTGCTGCTGTAACAAGTCCAAATACTTTGCAATAGTTAAATTACCCTCTATAAAAAATGGACCAATCATATGCTCTCCTACAAAACCACCCCAAACATTTAGCTTTTGAGGGTATTGCGTGCGTACCTCAAAATATCTATGCAAATTTTCCCGAGACCAATATCGCACTTCTGTAGGGTTATGACGACTCAATAAATGAAAACTTGATTCGTCGGTGAAAACTATATGCCGAATAAAGTTTTCACCTAAATTGGCCTTTTCCATTACAGATTCACAAAATTTTCAAATTTCAAATTTCGCCATACGCCGAAATTGGTCTTCATGGAAAATTTCCTGAGTTTTGCGCGCTTTATACGATCGGTATCTATTCTTTTTAAGGACTCTTTTAACCGTGCTAGGTGAAGAATCTGTTACCTCAGCAATTTGATTACTTGAAAACGTGGGATTTTGATCCGCGGTAGCACAAATGAACACTTGGTTTAACTCCTGTTCTTCATTAATGAACACATCAGGCTTTTTGTGTTTTTGTGGGGACACGCACCCATGCGTTTCAAAATTATTAATAACTCTTGATATAGTAGGTAAAGATGGAATTGACCTGTTTACAAAAGTTTGTGGAAAAATTGTTTGTATATCCCGATAAGACCTATTTTGGAAATACCATTTTACAATTTGAATTTTCTCACGAACTTCGTAAACATCCATTATTTTACTTAAAAAATAAATTTTACACGAGAGCTGTCGCGAGAATCTATGAATTCGTTTTGGCTATTAAAACACGAATAAATACAAATTCAGAAACATTCTTATCACATATCTACCTATTTTTATTTTATCGCATTTTTTCGCTTGCTTTTTATCCGGCGGACAGGTATACGCTAATTCGTCCGGCTTTGCCTATGTTACTACTACGGTGGTCCGGTCTGTATAATGCTATTTTAATATAAATATCATTTTCAATTTATTTCTGTAATCTGTACATTTTCTGTCTCCTCAATAGCCTGCAAATTTTGTGGAATACCACCCAAAATACACACTTTTATACAGATGCCTAATAATGTCAACGCCCCTTAATATTTATTTAGGAAGAGAAGAAATTATGAACCTAACCAACAATTCGTGTGGTCTATTTTTGTTTACGTGTTTTGCTCATTATTTATCTTGATTTACAGTAATTTTGTTAGATTATACGAATATTCTCGTTGATTATTGATTTGAAATAAATATGACTATATCCTCAAACAAATGCGAGTTGCTTAACTCTAATAACTCTAATTCTGAGCTAGATGCTTTATCTAGATCGTTATTCAGAAGCTACAAACCTACTGATGAAAATATCTATGAAAATTTACTTCCTAACACACAACTATAGGATATTGGTACACAGATAAAGTATCAAGTTTATTATAATGATTTTCTTAACTTTAAATCAAATGTTTTTTGCAGTTTGCGCGATCATGCGATCCTTACCACTTTTCGTCTCGCTAGCTCGTGTGTCACGGCCTTGAATTTTTACTCCCAGCGCGCGTAAAGAAGTTTCACTTCAAAAAAAAACAAGAAAGAATACAATAAAACTGAAAAGTAAGGTGTTTCAAATCGTTTCTTCAGTCTTTAATGTATAAATTTACAAATACTGTTTAACAGCTTCCTTGGTCTTTTTTATACAACGTTTTAAAATAAATTAACTTAAAAAGAAGATACCTAACGATCTAACCTAGAAGTCCGTCATACTTACATATCCATTTCTACTGGGCAAGGTGCTGGATTTTAGTCCGTAACCGGGCCTAGGTACCATTCGCAAGGAGGATACTACTGTACCGCACACACAAGAAAAAAAGAAAAAGTGCGAAAATAATAAAAAAAAAACGATAAAAAACACATAAAAACATGAGCTGTGCTTGTAAAAAACAGCTATTATACTACATGCAAATAAAAAAATAACAAATTGCGGCAAAGAATATGCAAAGTGTCTTTAAAAAAGGTACCAATTTTGTTCAAAATCGGAACGGCTTGTTTTGGTACTAGTAGGTGGAATGTACTATAGTGTATCGGTGATGACTTTAGATCATTATATAAATAGATACGATACTTAAGATGATTTTTTCTTTTTAGCATCAAACAAGTACTTTTTAGAGAGTGTAAATGTAAACGTAATGGAAAAAATCAGATTCTCAATTATCTACGTCAGAATAACAATTTATGTCGGTTTCAAACGGCGCGGCGAAATAAAAACACGTATCTATTTGTGTTATGATCTAAGGTCGTGACAAACATTCATGCCTAATTTGTAACAATTCTATAATTTTTATGTCTCCTAGTTTCATTTAAAACCAAATAGACATGCAATATATCAGTAATAATATCGATATCCATGGCATTCCCACATTTATATTGCAAACTGGCTAAATTACCGCCGGCGATATAGACAATTGACGAAAGATATACCGCCGGTAGATGGTTTTATTTATTTATTAACATGACTACCGCGAAAAACGAGGTAAATTTTTCAAGCACGGCGGTTGTTGCTAAATATACCGCCGTTGATACCGCCATTCGGCGGTATACTCGGCGGTATAATTTTTAGAAAACAGAAATACCGCCCTTATTTTACTAAATTACATGTTATTATTTTTCCCAACGTAAGTACCGCGAATAGGTACAGTTGTCAAAATAAAAATACATTTTATTGCATACAAATGTAAACATTTTTGACATATTAGGTACAAAATAAGAAAACAACAAACAAGCGTCAAATGTTTTTATCACCTAATCGAAATGCAAAAATAAAGGTTCTGTTATCATTTCGAAATGAATTCGTCAGAACAGAGGAGCTCAAAAACAGTAATGATTTAGCGGTTGGTGGACCTTAAAGTTAGTTATTAACCGCAGTCTAGCTACAGCTCTAGCAATAAAAAGACACTGTAAGCGTGTTTTGATTGCTTTGGTTTAAATTTTTGTTTGATTTTCAATTTTTACGGTTATCAAATACCAACGACAACTCAATTTAATAAAAAAAAATCATTTCGGCGGTATTCGATGGTTAAAATACAGTATACCGCCGTTAAAATACGTTTATACCGCCGTCAACGACAAATTAATTCAATTTTCCATCGCCGTTTACAGATATAGAAATACCATACCGCCGGATAGCGGTTTTTTTCTGTATACACTAACAATACCGCCGGCGGTTTTATAGCCAGTGCGTTTATATTAACGAAAATCACCTCTCACCTTTACCGTTACTTTACTTCGACCAGAAGCTAGAAATTTAAATTTTGTTTTCTCTAATTTTTCGCAAAAAAATTAAATATTATCATCAAATCAAAAAATATCAAACCCCTTGAGAGTCAAAAATTTTGAAAAAAACTTTAATAACCACCATATTACACGTTTAAATATTAGTAAAATTTCACAATAATTAAATATCAAAAAGAAAAAAAAAGGTAATGAGTCTTACCGTTATAGTTCCAACCACTGGGTCTACTCATGGAAGATGATCTACAGCTCAACGATCTGTCAAAATCGTCTTCCTCGAATGGTCTGGGGTGGTCTAGGTTCCTGGATGGGCTGGCACCGATGGGGTTGTCGTAGCGCAATCTGTAGGTTGGTTCCTTATTGGCTGAAGGAGTCCTAGAAGTAAGAAAAATGTTAGCAAATTATGTCAATTCATTTTCATTTTTTATGATGCCAAGTCATTAATTCAATTTTTTTTGGCTTTTCTCTATCTTCTTGAAAATTTACAAGTTTTGACTTTGTTATAATAAATTTTAAAAGAACTAGGTAGTTAAAACAAGTATGCCAATTTTAGATAGCAGAAAAATAATTATTATTTCAAGCTAAAGATTTGTAAAACGAAATTAAATATACAGGGTGGTCCGAACTGTATTCGGGAAATTTCGGGAACATATTCTGCTGATAAAAATAAGTAAAAAAGTTCGTATAAATGTATGCCCTAAGGTTAACTGTTCTTGGATTAGGTCTAGAATATATTTCTCTCTCATTACATAGGAGAGAGAAAGAAGGATATATGAAATGTCAAACTTCCATCTGGTCTCAATTTTCTTTGTTATTTTGTTAAGAAAAGTGTTTTTCAGTAAAATTTTGGATATTTTTCTATCCCCAATCAAGTGTAGCTTTTAGATAAACAATAATATAATGAAAATATAATGAAATTATTACTTTATAGGGCAGAAATAAAGAAAAATTCAATGTTGAAATAATTTTCCGTTTTTCTGAAAAACGGAAAGAGACCGCCAAGAAAACAGTTTAGATTCGTAATCTACGACCTCAAAATAGTGTGTATACCAATTTTGGTGGAAATCGGACGATTTCCAGTTTTCCCAATATAATACCGAAAAATCAATCTTCAAAATGAAACTTCTACACCCTGTATCTCCGAAACTAAGCATTTTAGGACATACATTTCTACGAATATTTTTGCTTATTTTTATCTGCAGAATATGCTGCCAAAGTTTCCGGAATACAGTTCGGACCACCCTGTATATACCTTGATGCATTTCTGGGATCTAAATGGGCTGCTTTCCACTGCTTGATCTTTTCTCTCTCCTTGACGTTCTTCAAAAACACTTTCCCGATACCGCTAGCAATTTTACTAAGTTCTTGTTCTTCCTTCTTTAATTTTTTGTCGTCGATTTCCTTTTCCGTGAGTCCATCTACTTCGTCTTCGTCTCCAGATTCTCCCACGCCTTTGTACGAGTCTGACCATCTCTTTCTACGTTCTAGCAAATAAAATACAAATCAATAAAAATATAGTAAAATATGCTCATTTAACCTATAATAATTTGATGAAATCTGGAATAAAACTCTTTTTGAAATCATAAACGTGTTAAAATTCAAATTCCTATTTTTAAAATACGATACTTTTGAACTACTAAAGGTTTTTTTATGAATTATAATATACTGAATAAATGAAAAAATACACGTTGAGTCAGTAATAAACATTCCATGTGTAATAAAAGTTGAAGAGTTCTGTACAATCTATTAGGAAAAAAATAGAATATATTGGGTGTCTGTCTCATTTACCACCAATACGGGAATAGGGATCGGAGTGTTTGGACCGAGAGCTAATTACTCCGAACCAATGGGCACCTACCCTAGTATCCTACAGGCAGAAATCTACGCTATCGAGAGATGCGTACAACTTATCTTAGATAGGAACTATCGGAAACAAGAAATAGCCATCTTGTCTGATAGTCAAGCAGCGTTAAAGGCGATCAACTCAGTATCAATCAATTCGAAATTGGTCAAAGAATGCATAGAGAAGCTGAATAAATTAGGCAAAGAAAACAAAGTCCTCCTGCTCACCAAGGGATAGAAGATAATGAAAAAGCAAATAATCTAGCTAGGAAAGGAGCGAACACTCCACTAACTGGACCAGAACCGTTCTGCTTTCCAAGTGGTAACCAACTCAAGGCGGAACTCAAGAACTTGGAAGATTCCATCCGCAACCTGGAATGGAAATCTTGCAATGGTCTAAGACACTCGAAGAAGTTTCTGAGGGCTTATGATCAAGAAAAATCACAGATCTTCCTGGGTCTGAGTAAGAACAATCTTCGAATTGTCACGGGGTTTTTAACAGGACACTGTCTCCTCAATGAACACCTCAGTAGATTGAAACTAAGAAGAAACGGCGAATGCAGATTCTGTGGGGAAGATGGGGAAACACCAGTACACCTCATCACTGAGTGCGCCGAGACGACAACCATTCGTGCCATGAATTTTGGTACGACTGATATTGGAGATGGAGAACAACCCTCTATAAAACCGTCCCAGATACTGGCTTTTGTCAAAGCCCTGGGACTGTATGATGAGTTATGATTCAAGAAAGGGGGACACAATGGATCTGTAAGGTCGAAGTGATTAACCCCCCTCCCACTCATTCTAAATTCTAAAATTCTAATTCTGTCTCATTTAAAGAATTTAAGATTTTCTCAGTTTAAGTACTTGAAATTCATAAATTTATTTGAACATCCTGTAGTATCTAGATTTAGATTAGATTGTGTGCGTGCTGTAAAAATATTAACAAATAATATCACAACTTTTATTTAAATAAAAAAAGTAATTTCATAATATGATACATTTGACCTAGTAACACTAATTTTTAATCAAGGAGCCTTGGAAAAATAGATTTGATCGTCTAATGTTTTTCGTGTCTCTTCCTAGCCGGTAAAAGATGCCCAAATCGTTTATCTCATTTTTTTCAAATGGAACAAGAGTGGTTCATAAGCATATTTAGAAAAAGCATTTTTTTACGAAAACTTTGGTACCACACACTTGGTATTTCGAGTCAAATTGTCGTTATGAACCGTATGTTACAATTTCAAATAAATCATATGCGAAAATGTCAAAGTTGACATATGATATGTCATTCTATTCAGACTGTCATTTTCTATCGAATAAAGTAAAAAATACCGAGGGTGTCATTTAAAAATCAGAAGTTGTAGTTATTTCCGGTGAAACAGGAAGTGACAGAAAACAAATGAATACGTCAATCAATCCTAATTTATGTCATATACTAACATACCAAAAATCGTTTTTTTTTAATCTGAAAAAATAAAAAGTTATAGGAGTGTGCCACTTTTGAGACGCACCCGGTATGCACAAAATAAGACTCATATAAGTACCTGGATCAGTGTATGGATAAGGAGGTGCTGGAAAATCATCTCTTTCAATTTTGGGTGGTTCCCCAGGTTGTGGAGGCTTGGCAGCTGGATAATGGCTGAGTTCTATGGGTTCCTCGTTATTCATGTGAGGCGATTTTGGTCTGGGTGTCTCGCTACGGATCGAGTCTACCAAGACTTTCATGGCTGACCGTGATCCATACCTCTTACCACCCGCACCGGTTGATGATCTGAATGAATTTTGGGCTAAAAAGGTTTTAAATTAAATATACACAAAGAAAATATTACACAGCGTGACAGAGCAAGTTAACATCATATAGGATCCATGTCTTAATCTATATAATAATACAAAAACACCATATATGATGAGTACGTTATCTGTGAGACTGTATGTTACAGATTTTTTCTTACAGCTAGGCCTGTGGAAATGTGGTGATGTTGGTGGTTTATCGTATGGATCGATGGGTCTCCTCAAGTAACCCTGAGTTGGTTCTTCTGTCAAGTAACTGTAAGTGTATATTCTTGAAATATCGTCAGCTAAAGTTCCAGATTTGTTGTATTCCCTCAATATTAAACCTGGCGATGGAGTTCTATAGGTACTGTGAGTATAGTGCTACGGAAATATATTTTATCTTATTATTATTAAATATAGACTAAAAGTAATGTATGAAGATAGTGGTTACAATGGATCAGAATTTATTGTTCTTCAGATTGTTCTTAAGAACTAATTATCACGAAAACATGACACAAGTATGGTTATACTACTCAATATATCATAGCATATATCACTGGAATATTTATATAAAAAAGCATATACGCCACTCCCTATTTATTCTCTTGTAAGCGAAATAGTGTAAGCAGTGTAATGCCGATTAAAAGTTGTGTCTTAATAATTTGGCGATATCGGCCTCCTTGATGAGATAAACGCAATTTTATTAATTTGCCTTGATCCCAGTCTAATAGCAACCTCCAAAAAAAAATATATTATTAACTTGCGAAAGTTTTAAATAAATACTCATTAATTCCTCATCAAAGAATATGAAGAAAAGTTCCTATAAACATGGATATGGAAATGCATAGTTTTAGAGTTAGAGGATGTTAAAAAATTTAAAATTAACTTTTAATTGGCATTAAACGGCCTGCAAATTTTGATGTCAAAATAACAAAGTCAGTGGCGCATATGTTTTTTTTTTTTGGAAAAATATTCTAGTGATAGGTAACCCATAATATGCACGTCCCTGATAAATGTATCGACACTTTTTTAGCATTAAAATATGTAGCACTTGTAGTAAATTTTACCCTCAAAATTTCATTCGAATCACTAAAAGTACTTGGAAGAAAATTATAATAAATCAAAAAACACCCTGTAGCTATGAAACTAAGTAAAATCGGACCTATGTTGATATGAAAAATAAATCTAATTTTTACGTGAGGAATCTCCCCACGAGAGATGGCACACGTTTTTTGAAACACCCTGTATATATTATCTAAATATTCTCAATGCTGAAATATCTTTTATTAGAAGCAAGTGAGTTAATGACTACTTTTATTATTCTAGAAATAAAATAAAAGATACTGAAGAGAATACAGTTTACTCTTGTGTGATTCCAAGTGATTTTTCGTGGAGTAGACTTATTAATATATTGCAATTCATGTCACTCAACTAACAAATAGGCGCTGATTGTATGAAGAACCACTCGAAAAACAGAATATTTTGTTACTATTAAAAATATGTACGTAATTTTATAAATTTTGAGTCATAGGTAAGCATTATAACCACCCGCATTTGTTTTCTTCTGAACATTTTTTACAAAACTGGTACGCATCCTGAACCAATGTAACCTTCTCCTAATATGAAATTAATATATTCAGATAGAAAATTAAAACACCAAAGCACAGCTTATTCAGTACCCAAACACACCTCCATATCTACACAAATTTTAAAGAATTATTGTTATTCTTGTATTCTTCATCGTCTAATGTATCAGCAAAAGACAAGTATATCTATAGAAGATAGAGAGTAAGAATATAATGAACTTTCTGATGGCATAAGAAATGTCAGAAACTACGATTCACAGCTTCAATTCACAGCTTCAATTCAAGGCCACAGCTGGATATTGAATAAGCAGTGCATAAAGTGTACAAAAAAATGATCTAATAAAAAACAAATAAAACAAACCTTCCTATGCATGCTTGTGGGACTATATAACGAGCCATTTAAACTAGGGGTACGTGATCTCATTGAAAACTGAAAAAAATAACAAAAAAAACGTGCAAAATAACAAAAAAATGATTTTTTATGCTAAAAATGTGAAAATAATGTGATAAATTCAACAGAAGACTCTACAATAAATAAATTAAAAATTGTACTATAAAAAATATTCAAGTACAAATGAACTACTGATTGGTACAAATATACATAAATCTCATGTTTTTTTCTCTAGGCATCAGTGATTTATACCTGTAACTCGCTAGCACCACTGGTACTATGTCTGTCGAACTCCCTAGTGCTGACATCTGTGTCAGTGATGTTCCCGTTCTGTCCTTCTGAACCATTCAGTATTCTTCCGTCCTCAGTTTGAGGTCCAGGACCGCATCGAGGATGCCACACCGCACCTCCCTGTTTTAAAATCAAAATATTACCATTGGGGCATATTATAAATAGCAGTTCTATGTCCAAGGCATATTGGGACACCCTGTATATATTAAAATGTTCGAATTAAAGAACATAAAGATTATTTAAGAAAGGGTGACTTTCACAAATGTAAGATTTGTCAGCATTCATGGGACACAGGGTACAGAATAAATTTTAATAACGCCAAAATTATAATGAAAGAAGCGATAGCCTCTAAAAGAAAAATAAAAGAGGCTTTTTTAATACAATCTAATAAAAATAAATGTATTGCTCATGTACCTGGAGACGTTAGTAATGTATGGCAATCGCTTCTTTGATTTTAAAGAACATAACATAAATAAACATACGTAAAAATTAAAAACAAATTAAAAATACTCAGACAGAAGGTTTGAAGCTTTTTGATTTTACCTTAATTAAGTAATTGTTATCAGGTAGTTAATTGTTAATTATGAAGTTCATATGAGACTTGATATAATGTCATTTTAACAGAACGTCAACGGTTTTTGTAGACGTATCTGTTTAAAAAAAACTAAAGGGTTTTCGAAAAGTTGCATTTAGATATGTTAAATAGTTTTTTCTTTGTTCTTTGTGTTCTTTTTTGTTTCCGACGACGGAAAGAGATATTAGTAAACCACTGCTGATAATTAGTCTCCGTTGGATTACCGCCAGCAGTGTTTACAAAAAATAACTATTTTATTTTGTAGATTTTCTTACAGTGGCGAAATACCCATAGGACTTTTTTGGAGACCTGTATACAGGGTGCTACAAATTCGAAGTACGAGCATTAGTATCTCGTTAACCGTAATAGATACGAACATGGTTAAATTGGGACAAAGTTGCGTTTTGGGATGTTCACCAAGATGCCATCACAAAATTTTTAAAAATTTTAAGGATTGCTGAGTTTTTTGGAAAAAAACGGATTTTTTTGAAAATTAATTTTATTTTTTCCTGTCGTTACTTTTAAGAAAATCAAAAAACTAATAACACATTCTCATAGCCACTTTATTAGGGCTATCTGACATTATTTTTAGATTTTCAAATTAGCTAATAATTTGTGAGATACAGAGGCCAACTTATTCTTTTTAAATACGGACCTGCATTTTTTATTTCCGTTTTTGAAAGAACTCGGTCCCCTGAGTACAATGATATACCACACTTTATACTTTTTTTTGTTTTGGGTACCTTAACAACAAAAAACTGTTTAATTATTATTTAAAATTATTTCAAGTCCGACTCTGTTTTTTTTTAATTATTTAATCTGATTTTATTCATCACAACAATATCGATCAGCGCTAATTAACACTGAATAAGGAAAATCCAGCCAATTGGAAGATTCAAATAAATTATATCCAGGTCAGCAATTTAAAGATTGTATTATTTTTAACTTTTTTTATTGTGAATTTGAAATCTCGGTGTGCGATCTAATAATATGTTTAATATTCATCGTAGTTATTATAAATAAATCAACTTCTACAAACTAGTTTCTAATGCTCTACATGTTCAAAAGGGTTAACACCCTCCCTAGTGCACAAATTTATTTTTCGTTCAATTTTATTGAACTTTTTTGATGGCATCTTGGTGAACATCCCAAAACGCAACTTTGTCCCAATTTAACGGTTGCCGAGATACTAATGCTCGTACCTCGAATCTGTAGCACCCTGTATATAAATTACCTGAAGGTACATTTCTTCGCCATCACCAAAAGGGTCACCGCATTTGGAACACCTAGCGCACGTCGGGTGGAAATGGTGATTATCGCCAGCCTGAAAAAAAAAAGAAAATATGAGGTCAAGAACTTTCACACCATACGTGACATTATGCTTATTTGTCACAGTGCAATAATAATATATGCCTATTGTTCGTTTCAGAACAAAACCAGCACGAGGCATGTTTTTTTCGGTATTGAATAACAACGCCCACTTCTAAAAATGTTACAAACACGGTTTTAAATAGAAATAAAACGCAGACAAAGGGTAATAAAAGTACGTATTAGAGATGTTAATATTTAAAAAGTATCGATTTTTTTTTAATCTTCGATAGTTAAACTTTGTTAAAAATAGTTAAACTTGATGAACCTAGTCAAGATATTGGAAGAATAATCAGTAATACTGTTGATTGAAAAAATAAAAAGGCGCGCAACCTTATGGTCGATTTCGTGGCACAAAACCTGTCCAAGATGTAGCTGGCGATATTCGCTAGTCAGCCTGTCCGAGATTTAGTTTAGCACTGCGCCGCTGCGCGCTGAGAGTAAATGGTTGCTGGAGACAGTGTTGCCAGATTACTTCGTAAGTGTTGCCAGATTACTTCGTACTTCGCAAGAACTACAGATTAATTCGTAAATTTATGGATTTTGGGTACAGTACGTTAATTATACGGATTTTCTGTCATTAAACAATTTAATAAAATATTATACGATTAAACAAAGAATGGCGTCAGAGTTCGCTTGGAAATGTAGCTCGCTGCTATTTCATATGTAAAATATCATGGTAAATGGCAATAATTGTCATTTCCAAGCCAACTAAACGATTTTTTTTTCGATTATACGAAATATTCAGTATCTATAAAAGAATTTTTATTTTTATTGTTTATTCTATGTTCAACACGAATAAATTTTCAATAAATAAATGCGAATTTTTCATCCAAAGATATTTTCGTCAAACCTATTACAGATATTACACATTTTTGCCGCTTTCAGATCCACACCGTCTTCGAAATGCCTTCGCTGGTCGAATTAGAGAAAATAAGTATTTTATGCGTTGACCGCAGAACGATTGGTGTCTCCACCGTACAGCACTTGAGACGTAAGGAGAAATCAAATCAGCCTTGTCGCAAATTCGCCCATTAGAGATTGCGTATCTTCTCAATTCTTCATCAATGCTAATATATAAAAACAAATAATAAAAATTGTCGATCTATTTATCGTATTTTTGAGATATCGATATAATTATACATCCCTATACCGTATCAACATTTTCACAAATTTTACAGTAAACTGTGGAGATAAACAATAATTACAGACCCCTTCACCGTGAAAATATCATGCAAATTGCTCTTCAAAAAAAAAAGAAAAAAAAACGAACTGATACAGATGCAGATAGCTACAAAACTACTACTTACTCATAAAATATTAATAAATTCAAATTCATTTTGTTGCATATTAAAAATAATCTGCCTGACGGCTTAATAATTAGAAGTTGTGGCACAGGAACTGTCTCCTGGGGCTCTGTATTATTAATATTAATAGTTTAAAACAGATTATAGCCTCTGATACAATTATGCGGTTCTTTGCTTTTAAAATTAAACATAAATTATCGGTAATTTCGCATCTCCTTATTTGTTTTGCCAGAACGTTCTAAAAGCATTAAAATTGTATGGTAAATAAATAATAATAATGTTTGTTGTTAATTTATCTATTAACATATACGGAAAATCCTTAAAAATATGAAATATCAACCAGTACCTTATAGAGAATATGATGTGGGAGGATAAAACCAATATATTTACATAGGATCTTCGAGAAATAAAGTGTTTTTTTTGCTAAAAAATGTATAATAATGAATGTAATTTGTCTAAGACGACTAAGACAACAATGAAGATAATAATTTTAAAAAGTAAACCATTAAAAAATTAAGCTGTTATTACTAGAAATAACATAAGGTTTGTTCCAAGAAAGAAATTTTAATTTACGTATTTGAAGGACATGTTTGGAAAAGTAACATATTATAATGTTTATTATAATATAAATATTATTTTCAATTTATTTCTGTAATCTGTACATTTCCTGTTACCTCAATAGCCTGCAAATTTTGTGTGAACACCACCCAAAATACACACTGTTATGCAAATGCCCTTAGACAAGGAAAGAGAGGGGACGAGTAACAAGCATATTCTCCCGTGATCGGTTAGTGAGGCCAAAATTCGATCGGCGGCCATACTTTGGTGACAAGATTTCGAGGTGACACCGAGGGAATTTCTATGTTTTTTGTGACAACTGTTATGTTTTAAATTTATAAACTGTGTTGTTTAGTATGGTGAGATGTTCAGCGTATAGCTGCAAAGGCCGAAGCGAGAAAAAAGTGGCTGGAATTACATTTCACAGGTAAAAATTGATACACAACTTTTGTTATGTGGTCATAAAATGTACATTTTTTTAAATATTCTTTCAAAAAGTTTGCTAATTTAGGTGTATTTTAATAGTTTCAGTGAGTAATTAATAAAAATTTAAAAATAAATAAAATAACACAAAGCTTCTAGAATTGTTTATTTTTTTGTGGAAAATTAGGATATTCTTATGACTGAAGGTAACAAATATTAAAAATTACATTATTCATTGAATCCGTACGCAAGTGTAAAGCGGATTGGCTAGATTCATTATTATACCGTATGATCGAAAAAAACGACGTCCAGTTGGCTTGTAAATGACGATAGACGACATTCACCATATAATTTTACATATAAAATGACAGCGATCTTCATTTCATAGCCATCGCTGACGCCGTCTTTTTTCGATGTGTTACCTGTCCCCTCTCTTTCCTTGTCTAAGCAAATGCCTAATAATGTTAACGCACCTTAAAATTTATTTAAAAAGAGAAGAAATTTTGATCCTAACCAGCAATTCGTGTGGTCCGTTTTTGTTTACATGTTTTGTTCATTATTTATAGTGATTTCCAGTAATTTTGTTAAATTATACGAATATTCTCGTTGATTATTGGTTTGAAATAAATATGACAATGTCCTCCAATGAAAATGCGAGTTGCTTAGCTCTAATAATTCTAATTCTGAACTAGCAAATGAGCTAGATGCTTTACCTAGACGGTTATTCAGAAGCTACAAACCTATCGATGAGAATATGCATGAAAATTTACTTCCTAGCACACAACCAGAGGATATTGGTACAAAGGTACAATACCAAGTTTACTATAATGATTTTCTTAGCTTTAAATCAAGTGTTTTTGTGTTTTACGCGATTGTGCGATCCTTACCACTTTTCATCTCGCTAGAGCTCGTGTATCACGGCGTCACGGCCTTGAATTTTTACTCCCAGCGCGCGTGAAGAAGTTTCACATCAAAATTTAACAGCTATTTTTCAGACCCATGTTTAAAGAAACTTTTTTCCATATTTTTTTGATGAGAAATCAATTTATGAAATTTCATCCTGTATATCTAGCGGCATCGATCATTAGGCAACTACTTCCGCTACCTACACACCCACACATCTATGCACCTAACCCATCATCGTTTGTCATTCATCCTACGAACCGATGGCTTTTAATTTAAACGGTTAATGGGCAAATATGGACGGGTGAAAGTCCTAAACGACGTTTGCATCAAAATGAAACCTTTGACATCAAAACTAATAGATACAGAATACTGATTCTATAAGAAACAAGTCGCATATATATTAGGGTGGGTCAAAAAAATCGACTATTTTTTTTCACCTTATTTTCTGAAAAAAAAAAAGGTTACTAGACATCTCAAAAAAATTCTCTCCAAGTATGAGCTCTTAATTTTAATAGGAAGGTCCTCCGCCTTTCAGTTTTCTATTTTTTCCTTATTATTAGAAAGAAAAATTCATATTTTGATATCTACCATTTGGAAAAATATCTCGTTTCATATTATTTGTAGGAAATTGAATTCTCTACAAAAAAGGTCTCATACAATTTTTTTGTAAACCTCACCGTTCGAAAGTTATTAAAGGTTGAATTTCATTGAGTTTCGGGAAAATTTTTACAAATATAATTTTCTGTCGTGAAAGTAACTACTATGGAAGTTCTTTGTTCGAAAATTTATTTCAAATTTATCATTCTTATAATATTGTTACGGATTCCGTGGGTCTACTAATTTGAACTCAAAATAAAATACTTAACGAATTTATTAAATAAAAATAACAATATAAGTAACAGGATGTATCACGACAAAAAATTTAAATTTGTAAAAATTTCGAAACTCATAAAATAAATTGGAATTGTTCGAATTATTAATCAAAAACTGTTAAAATTATTGTGCAGTGAAGTTTGACGATGAATATCTTTTTAATACATTTTAAACATAATACAAAATGTCGTTTTTTATTAAAAAAAAGATAAAAAAGTTATAGAGGTGAGCCACTTTTAAATTACAATTTTTAGTGCTTCAATTGTAAACCTCCTTTTCTTCATATTTTTATATGCATGAGAACCGGCGGTCTACATCTTTTAATGCCCAAAGAATTAATTACCATAGAGCACGGTTTGCGAGGGCTATTATGCAGGCGGAATGCAAATGGCGCCTAATGGTACTTCCTCCGACTGGAAATCGTGCGGGTCAAACACTCAAGACAGTACTTTTGATTTTACAACAGCAGTCGTTCTTCTGACAGACCCCACATGACGTTTAAAATCAACACCAGTATCAGAGCTAGTATAGATTTTTTTCTCGCGCATGTCAGTGAGAAGTGTTGTTCACTAAAAATTTTACTGCAATTTCATAAAATTGAAAATATTTCAAAAACGGTAAGGTTTAAGTTTGATAAACCTTAATCAAATTAACCCTTATTTCAATTGTAGAATCTAAAAATATACAGGGTGTTAAATTTAAAAAAATACAACTATAATATTTTTACTTATTTGGGACACTCTGTATCTCGTAAATTATTTTTAAATTGTAGCTCTAATAGTCCTTCAACGAACCCAAAACTTACAATTTGTAAAAATCTAATCGTTTAGCTACAATACTTCGTGTCGTATGTGGTGAACAATCCTGTATAATCAGGAAAGATTTCTAC